CCCCCCCCCCCCGATCCACAGAGCCGTGGAAAGGCCTTTACGAAGCAGGCCTGTCCAGACGTTAATTGAGAAACTTGGCTCGTCTATTCTAACGAATGTCAGTTAAATTGCGTTTTCTTGTTGTTCACAACTATCCATAGTTTCCCTCTTTTCAGACTGAATACATAAATCAGAAGAGCATGTTTCATGAACGAACTAAGATTATGAAACTCCTGTGGATTCCACGTCTATCGACCTTGACTTGCCCGGTGCCTTCTTTCCTTCCCTGTATCCGACAGGAGCTGCTCTTCTCTGGGTCACTGTAGCTACAATCACCTGCGGTTCTTGAACTTGAGGCTGGACCCAGGACCCTTCGAAAGAGCCTAGGAGAAGGGAACAGCCCCACCGCTAAACCTTTTTTTGCTTCCACATTCGGAGGACTGATCAGCTTCCGATTTTAGTAATTGTCTTGCTACATGTCAGGGTAATTACTACGGGGTCACCGCACTTTAACGGGGCTTGTCCTTATAAAATATGTGGAACTGCGTAAGGGAAAACAGTGTTTTCTTGGGAAACTCCGAGGCTGTACTTTTAAACGAGACGCAGTTAAATGTAATATACTTCAGCGCTGCTTTTTTCCAACCAACTCGTAACAGACTGCTCGAGTACAATCTCTTCTGTATTTCAAACCATCTTTAAAAAAGAAAATCAAAAGAGATCTCTTCAATAACTACCGCGTGGGCTGATTCGGTGTAAGAACTAGGCTTAAAAAATCGGCTAATGTTATCAGCGTTCCCTGTTTGATAATAAAAAGACTGAATTGATTTTTTTTCCTTCCAGTTTTAGGACAAAAAAATACGACGTAACGAAATTCAGCTTGATACGATTTGAAAGAGCCAATATACTAAACCCCAAAGCGAAATTTAAATTGGCAATCGTGTCAGATTCAAGTCCCTGAATGAATATTAATTTAAAAACTAATCAGATTCCAACAGGTTGACGCTTCACAATGCCCGTTCTCGAATAAGAGCTGTTAGGTCCATGACTCCAACATCGGCATTTTTTGTTTGGGAAATTAGACCTCCAGTGCTCAGTATGTCTGGCTCTTCCTGGCCCCCTCCTTTTTTTGTGTGTCCAGGGATCTCATTATTTTTAAAAATCATTTATTTTTTCCAAATTTGGGAAATCAGAATTCCAGTTTTACTGATAGGAAGCTGATACCGAGTGGTCTGAGGTGAGGTAGAAGGTCAGATGAGGTATGTTTTATTTTTCACACACACACACGCACACACATGCACGCATCCATATAAATTAACTGACTTGTGACCGTACGGGAAGATAAGTGAAAATACGCATTAATTACAAAGTTGCGATTCGGAATCTGACTAAACTAGAGTATCAATTATGTGTTCTGTCCTATCAAACAGAACTTTCACAGGCTACATCATAATAATGCAATGGTGAGTTACATTTTATATGACAATATGTTCTTTGCAGTGATACAGTGAAGCAGTTACGAGCTGCCTTTGTCCATAGCTTGGCCATAAAAATCTATGCCCCCCCCCAAAAAAAATGTTTCTGTGTAGATACCAGACGGCATGGGGAAGCAGAAAACTGCACCAGCCTGATGTCAGCCTAGGAGTCAGCTGTCACTTACCATCAGTCAACCCTGCACCGCGGCTCTCCACACTTCGGTAAACTGTGCCTCGCTCTACAGTCCACTTGCTTTTTTATGCAGAATCCGAGGGAGCCTCACTTTGCTCTTCCAGTCCAATCCTCTTATTATGTAAGTACATACCCTGAGCCAAGTGAATTTGCGAAGACCACACAGTGTCAGGACCTGACTCAGATGCCCACTCTCCTAATCTCTCGTCCCCACTGCTTCTTATGCGAGCACATTCCTTATTCAACATCTATCAAATGGATTACTATAGATTTCATAATATCTTAAACGTATTCAGACCGGCGTCCACTAACGAAACCCCATGCAGATCTCCCATTTAAGGTAAATAAACGCTCTCTCATTTTTATGTGAATGAGTCCAAATTTTCCTAATGCTGGCCACCCCCAAATCTATCAATAAACACCAGATAAATAAATGACCGATCTGCATGGTTTTTCTAATGTGTATGACTGTTCAGTTCTATAGTGTTAACATAAAATGTAGAACGGGGTGGGGGGAAAACCTATGTAAAAATAAATAGAAGTACATGAATTGGCGAGGACAAGTTTCCTCTGGATAGTCAAACAGTTATGAAATAAAGCAGTCTCGTTAAATCAGGAGCATGTCAACCTTGCTCGGAAAGAAGGGTAAGGTTTAAAGATTTATAAAGAGATCTTGCCTAAATGAGGGAAGGACGCTTATTTGATGTGTACTGAAAAGACGATGCTGATTTCAGCAGGCACTCTAAGAGCATTGCGCTCCCAGGAGAGTCTCGGCCCTGGTCACCTCCCCACATCGGACTTTCAACTTTCTCTGTAAAGCCACTGCGAAAACATGTCACAGGTTCACAGATAGGGCAACACAGAAGCAACGCAAAAGAACTTTTAAAAATCACTGTTGATACCAAAATATGAAAACATCTCAATCTGACATCTGCAGATGTCCTGTCTTTGGCGGTTTCTATTTGCACATTTTTAACATTATAACCCAATCCTGTTGCTGGTCAGTGGATAGAATGGGCAGTTTCAAGATATAGGACAAACTGGGCCCCTCTCTACTAACCACTCAACACATGAGAGACAAGCTCTGACAAATCGAACCCGTCTGCTCTGTCGTCACGGCCTGATATCAGACACGACCACCCTCCGCAGGTCCTTTCGATGCTGGTGGCACAATCTTGCTCCCTGAAAAGTGCATCGGCTCACCTCATATCCTCCCTTGAAGCTGCGTGGAGAAGGCGTAACATGCTGACAGAATGTCCCTTCGCCAATACCTTCCCATAAAAACCAACCGTCGGCCCCTCTCTGCATTTCTATTTTAAATATCCTTTCCTCAGGCTTTTCACGCAACCGTATGCAAACACATGGCACAGTTTCAGTTACGATCGGGCACAGCAAAGATAGGTACAACGCGTCTGTAAATCATCAAGAACGATGCTTACGCTGAAATCGGCTCTAAAACCCAACCCCCAATTCCCAAGAGCCTCTAAGGAGGTCCCACCTGCTCCTGGGTGGGATGAAAATGTGAGAAATCGAAGATTATTTTCAGAAAATGAATGAAAAATAATGTCCTCTGGTGTGAAGNGGAAATCGAAGATTATTTTCATAAAATGAATGAAAAATAATGTCCTCTGGTGCGAAGGGGGCTCCCAAGGAGCACTGTCGGGTGGCCCCTTTGAAAGCACACATGATGAACTGCACACAGGCCCTCTGCTTTGAAAGGCGATGGTGAATTTTAGCCTCACTTGGCCACCCCAGTGCCCTGCAGACACGAAGGATACAATGTGTCTCTTCCCCGGGAACCGGCAGACAGCAGACATCTCCCAGTTATCTCAGCCTTTAGCAGCTTGGAAGGTTAATGCAAACTGTGGTTGACAGCTAGAGCAAGAATGTAACAGCTTCGGAGCGTCTGATGTGTAAAGTTCATTAGTTCTAAGGTCAGCATTTTAATGCGACAGCCAAATTTTATTCCCATCATCAGATGCTACCTGCAAGAGGCAGCTGTAAAAATCAGGCCGGGGCCTCGACAACGCCGTGACTAGGAACGTTCACCTCCAGGGCCCTCGCGCGTTTCTGAACAAAATAAAACATACCGACCGAACGCAGCAGAAATTTCACGAGGATGTTATTACTCCAGAGAGCGTTGTCCTAAGCGTCTGTGGGAATTTTCACAGCAATTTTGAGGGGGACTGACGCTGCTGTATCGAGAGACGCATCATTTGGTCATTTAAACACTGATTTTCCTGAGTCGTCATTTATACACGCTGGAAATCTATAAAGACCCTGCTTCAGGTCTTGTGGGAAGATGCCCTTTAAAGAACAGAAAGGAAGACACATTCCTATGTTTAACCAAATGTTAAATATGCTTTATTTTACTCACCTGCACACTGAGATGAATCCATCTCCTCACAGGAGTTCTCCCCAGCGTCCTTACTTTTATTGGAGGCTGCAAACCATTTACTGTGCGGTAATAAAATAGGGTCTCTTTCTCCGATAGGGTGAGTTTGAACACAGTCTGCCCATCCGCCGTCTTTTCTATAACACACCTTAGGAAGCAACCAGAAAAGACAAAAGGTCAGCATCCCACCGAAAGTCACGCTGTGGCTTCGCACATTTATGGAGGTGTAGCTGACCCCAAACTCCACTCGGAAAGGCGCACTATGAATAAATGCCTGAATGTCATTATGCTCACAGCAAGCTTTATGCCAACTAAGAGGTCTTTTTATTGTAATAAAACAGAGTTCTTATTTATGCTATATTCCCAAGAACCTGGAAACCTTTTATTAGACATTCATGGTGCAAACTGAAGTGGTTGAAACCTTCTGCAAAAACTAACATTTAGCTGCTGGGCTCATTAGTTCCTCTGCTATTTCTTTTATAGGAAGAGGCAGGATCAGATCCCGGGTACTGAGTCACCAGCGCAAATCTTTCTTTCTTTTTTAGTGTAAAGAGAATTACTGTCCATAAAGGGCTCCCTAAGGGCTCTATTTAATCCCCACGGTGAAATGGGAAGCAGATCGCAAGAGGTTTTCCCTCCTTGCGCCTCACTGGCCAGAAGCCCAGGCCGGTGTCCTCAAGGTGGCCGGCCGGCCGACCCCGATCTCACAGTCCAGCTGAGGCACTGGGATCACGTTCCTGATCTTGGACAAAGGACCGGCCAATCTTTGAAGGACATGGTGAAATAATATTTGGATAAGTAGAATTTTCAGAAAATGTCTACTCTCGAGTCAGGCCAGTTATCAAATTATTATATTTTTTAAAATCACTTCTACCCTAATCACAGTGATACTCTTTCCCCACCCCTTTAAATAGGCTTAGGGCACTTTTATTTTTCATCGTTGTTGTTGTCTACATTCGTTTATGCTCATAAATTTTATTTTCTAGTAATTACATCGCTGTGAATTTCTGGCCACGCAGTGTCCACTGAAGGCCCATTTCTCTCCGTCACATTTCTACCTAGAGACTCAACTTTTCATCAGCGGACAGAGTAGGAAGGCTTGCGGGTAGCCTTCCGAATGGATGATTCCCGAAGATCCACTGTTTAAAGAGAAATATCACTGACGGTAGCCATCCACGTCCCCTCAAATGACCAGCTAGGAAGACGGCCACCAGCCTGGGTCTCACAGGTCAGCACTCCGAGGGGCGCCGCATCCCGGGAAGACCTATCGGGCCCTGGAAGGGTCTGGGTCCCCGTCTTCACGTGGCTGCCTCTGCTCAGCCCAGAAATCCCGGGGCCATGCCTGATCCTGAAGGGGTCTTCCTTACGCTCGCTTCGCTCCTGGTGATACCTCACTAATAACACTCATTTGTCTTCCCCTTAGACTATGCGCTTTCTGAGAATATATAGTCTGGTGCACAGAAGACCCTTAAAAACGGATGAGTTACTAACCAAACGGGGTAGGAAGCCTCGAGCAGGCGAACGTAGGATTGGGCCGACCAAGAGCTATTGCTAAAGATGTTTTAAAGCTTTCCCCAAATAGCACCTTTTTCACAAACCATTCCTTCTCACTTGCATTTATTCCTCCCCCCGCCCCCAAGTTCAGAGGTAAGAGTAGGACTGGAGAACACTTAGTAGCCACTATTTTATGATATTCCGTACATATATTTGGTGATAAAGCTAAGAGCGTGAGTATATATTTTGGGCAAATCGGTTACGCTGACATAAAGGTTTTTCTGTAAAGTAGAAACGCAATATTATAGAAATTCGACGACGATTTGTTGAAACCCCTCTGCAGTAGGGGGTTATATCTAAGTCGCTGGAATAAAAGACTTTCTCTTTAAATTCCCTGGCTCCGGGTCTTAAACAATCTAAGAAAAACTTTGCCTCTACCCGGTTTTTTTTCTTTCTCGAGTTTCAATCTACAGGTTAGCATCTGACCATTACTCAAGAACGTATTTACCAAAGGCAGGCCTACTTCCCCACGCTTACTGAAAATGCATTTCTTAATATGTTATTGATTACCTTCCGGGCTATTCTGTTTGCTTGTAAACATACCCGCTTCGGTAGATAATGAATGTGCGAGGGAGGCAGGTAGCAAAATATTTAGGAACTGGATTTGTTCTGCTCCTGGATAAACAATAACTGGGTAATCCGCGTTCTGTTTGTTTTACTTATCTAGTGCAAACACCCCGAAATTCCCCCAATTCCCGTGGGTATTTCATAGTTTTTGAGAATGGAAATGACCTTGATGGAGGGAACTCTCAAACCTGTAAACCATGGGCCATGGCTTCTATAAATACCCCCCTGTCTTATTTACACAAAAACGATGCCAACAGAAGATGAATTGGGGAGAGACATACCCCTTGGAAAAAATATTTTGCCCCAGCCATATTTGTCAAGACGTAAGCTTTTTGTTTTTTTTAAGACTGAACTCTAGTGACTTAAATGGAGCTGGTTGGATCTACTGACATGTCAAACAACAAGGAAGCAGGGGCTCCTTTCAGGGGTGACACAGAAATTGAGATGATGGTTGGTGATGATTTTTTTACTCCCAGGTTTTTGGTTTTTTTTAAAAAAAAAAAATGAAAATATGCCAACTNGTTTTTTTTTTAAAAAAAAATGAAAATATGCCAACTCTCACTTGGCGAATTAAAACCAAGCACCCAAGACATCAAAGTCCTATCTCTTTCTGAGGTTATAGGACTTTTCTGGTTTGTTTCGCAAGTTCTTAGGTATCTGGCCAGCAGCCTCACACAGTGACAACGGCTCACGGTGGAGAGCCAGATGCCCTGCAGGGAGACAAAAATGAAGGGAAAAAAACGCCTCCAGACTGTCCGACTTATTCTGATTTCCATGCTAGCTCTAGACACTTAGGGAAAACTCCTTAGATAGTGGTTTTAGAGCCTATTACAGAACAAAAAACATGTGATTATATAAACTGATAAAAAACGGGGTTAAGGAAGCCCCAGTCCAAACTCGCTGAAGGCCTTTCTTCCTGGGACCGGTGACCCCCAAGCTCCCGAGGCTCCTCCACGCCTCCCCACGTGCTCCCTAAAGCTCCACCAGGGAAGAGCAAACGTGACACCTTGTGCAGGGTGGAGCGTTGCTCATTTATTCAACTCCCATCACTGTGCATTTCCCGGGAGTCAAGCAAACATCTCTTCTTGGGAAAATCTGGATGAAAAAAACCACGAAGCCCTCAGAGATTTAGCTGCCTAATGAAACGTGTACACTCCAGTGGGGCAGGTTATGCATGCAAACTTGCACCAAAACTTTGAAAATATCAATGGCATCTATCACTAGCCCCCGTGTCCTAAAACTCGCCGAGCCGGATCCGGCCTCTGACGGCAAAGAC